AAATCAAAGCGTTGTTGCAAAGAGTGCTCGCGTCTGTCTTCTGATAAATAAAGATCAACTGTGTTTGTAATAAATACTGTGATCTCATGTCGACATGAAGCGTAGCACGATTGTGTTTATCTGACGCGCAAACAGACGGCGGCGTTTCTCATCCGAGGCCCGGCAGATGTTCTTCTGGCCTCAGAGACTCGCTGTTCAGGAAGAGAGACGACTGTGAGTCAGGAATCTGGGTCATGTGTGATACATGATGAAGGTTGTGACGTTTCCCAACCTCCTCTGTTGAAAGACGTACGCCATGTGGAGCAATACCACATGGAAAAGTACGAATTATTCCCCCAAAAAGTCTCAAAGTTACTGCAGTAATTACTGCTGGAAAAATTCACGTCTTTTGATCTGACACATTAATAAGACTGAAAAATACAGGCAGTATTTTTGATTACTGAAGTACAAAACTGGTGTAAACATTTCAGACTGTATGTTAGGGGGGAAAAGCCAGACTCGTTTTTTTGTTTAGGTCTTTGCTCCCCGCTCATGTTGTTCTGTAAATATGCTGTTTAGGGATGAATAAAATAATAGGAAATATGACAAAAGTCCCAAAGATCATGACATGGTTGGCAAATAAACGTGTTCAAACCTGCCTGCACTCTTAGTGAATTGGAGTCCTCCTTTCTTTCCAGGCTGACGGCCCAGAGGAGCATCGAGGATGCCGAGGAGGTGGAGAGGGAGCGTCGTCGGAGAGCTCGCGAGTCTTTACGCCGGAGGAGCAGCGGCTCAGCGCCCGGAGAGTCATCGCTGGACGGCGAGATGCCGCCAGAGGAGAACACGTGAGTACAGAAAATATTGCAGAGGCCCTTCAGCTTCCTTTTAAAATATAAAGAATGTGATCTCTGGTTATGGTGTTTGTACGAAAAGCAGCCGTTTTCCGAGTAGGACATCTGGAACATGCTGGTGGGTTTTAGTTGCTGTTTTGGAATATTTGCCTCAATTGCTTATTTTTTCTTTCTTTAAACAGTTTGCAACACGTGACTTCTTGCTTATAAGCAGCTCTGGCTCTTAAAGAAGCATGAGTAATGTCTATCTGTATCTTTTTTTTCTATTTAGTGAAGTCTCGTTCTGAAGCTTCGAGCTGAATGTTGTCATCACTGAAACCAGACGCAATGAGATAGATCTGACTCTGATACTGAGACACACTCTTTCAATACTTGCGAAGGCCCGCATGAAATCACACCCTGCTTTATTTTTTCCTTTTTGACTCTAGTGGGTGACATAATGTTCAAAATTTACATCATGTTGTCGTTGGTAAGACTTAAAATTCATGATTTAAGACTGCACAGGAAAGGCTTAATAAGCTAAAGGGACATTGTTCCCCATAGAACTTTTTTGCAGTTTGTTTTGCCACTCAGCAGTCACCTCCTGCTGGCCCTCAGA